CTTTGGTTACTCTCTCCCCCTCCACCCACCCGCCCTCCTCCATCCCTCTGACATTTGTCAGTCTCATCTATGCTTCCATGTCATTGAATCTATTGTTCATCAGTTTATTAAGTTCTTTAGATTCCACGTATACGCAAGATCACGTGATATTTGTCTTTCTCTGCCTGGCTTATTTCACTTAGCGCAATATTCTCCAGGCCCATCCATACTGTCCCAAAGGGTACGAGATTATTCTTCTTTACAGCTGCGTAGTATTCCATGGTGTAAATGTCCCACAGCTTTTTTATCCACTCAGCTACTGATGGGCACTTGGGCTGTTTCCAGATCTTAGCTATTGTAAACTGTGCTGTCATAGCTAATTTTTAAGTTGATAATTTTGTATGGCCCAAGAATGATGTTACAAATATCCATATGCCCTCAACAGAAAAAAGGTTCCTCACCCCTGCCTTACAGTTTTCAGTGTACAGTTCTTTCACCTCTGGGGTTAAATTTGTTCCTTGGTATTTTATTCTTTTTGATGCAGTTGTAAATGGGAGTTTCCTTTATTTCTCTTTCTGATAGTTCATTATTAGCACATAGCTACTGATTTTCATACTTTGATTTTATCCTGCAACTTTACTGAATTTATTAGTTCTAACAGTTTTTTGGTGTGAAGTCTTTAGTATTTTCTATATATAATATGTCATCTGCAAATAGCAACAGTTTTACTTACTCCTTTCTTATTTGGATGCCTTTTATTTTTTTCCTTCGTAATTGCTCTGGCTAGCACTGCCAATACTATATTGAATAAAAATGGTTAAGAGTGGGCATTTTTGCCTTGTTCCTGGAGGAAAAGCATTCAGCTTTTCACCACTGAATGTGTTAGCTGTGATCTTGTCATATACGGCCTTTATTATGTTGAGGTGCATTCCCTCTGTACCCATATTGTGAAGAGTTATCATCATAAATATGTTGAATTTTGTCAGATGCTTTTTCTGCATCTTTTGAGATTATCATATGATTTTTATCTTTCATTCTGTTAACATGGTGTATCACATTGGTTGGCTTGTGGTTGTTGAACCATCCCTACATCCAGTAAGTTCCACTTGATCATGGTGTACGATTCTTTTAGTGCATTGTATTTATTTTAAATGACTCATATTAAAATATTAAAATATTTTCCAGCTTACCTTCTATTGAAGAATTATTTCAGAATTTCTTAGGTGCACCTCATGTGGAATTCATTTGTGTGTGTGGTGTGTTTTAAAAGAAGGAAATGAATTGATTTTAAAAGTTCTAGTGATAGTGCCGCTATGAAGGGACCTATACACAAAATAAAAATTATATAATAAATATTCATTTAAATTATACCTGTTAACCTAGAAGTTATATTCTGTGCTGATGCAGGAATCCTGTAATAGCAAACCTGCCTTTAGCCAGCACTACATCAAAATGACCTAGAATAGCTGGGCATCAATTCTATTTTTAACGCTTCCCAGGGAGTAAGATTTAGCAACTGTCCTTGAAAACCCACTTCATTTATTAATAGTCCTAATTTTCAAGGTTTACTCTCTATTCCCTAAGTCCTATATATGGTAATTAATACTGCTTCCCCTTGTTCTGTTGTTGAGTGAAAGGCAGAGACAGGAAGGGTGGAAGATGCTCTCTTGAGGCTGTTTGTTCGGACCAGAGGGGTCACTCAGATCAGTGTTTTACCACATACAAGGTGGAGGTGGTTTCTCCCTGGGCCACTGTCATCATCCTCTTTTAAAAAACATGTTCCTCAGATATTTGTTTTCACCTAGTTTCTGTAGTTAAAAAATTTCCATTCTAAGTCAACTAAAAATGTTTCCTTTTTAAAAATGTTTTTATGTAGTTATGAAGAAGCCAGGAATATATTGATCAAAACGAAGATACTGGCCCCAGCATACTTTATCCTGGGAGGCAACAAGTCTGGGGAGGGCTGTGTGATTACACGAGACAGAAAGAAATCTTTGGATATCTATGAGTAAGTACATTTGTTAGAGCAAAGCGAAAACGAAAGCACAGACTCACGTATGTACAGGTTTAAGGCATGAAGCCTGAGAGAAATCTCTTTTTGTGTCCAGACTCGACCTCGAGCAGGATAGATGGTATGTGGTAGAAACTAATTATGACCGTTGGAAACATCCCTTCTTCCTCGATGATCGAAGATCAGCCACAAAGATGTGTCTAAACCAGACAACCCAAGAGGTAAGTAACACTCACAGTGTCCGATGTAGAAACAAGTGGTGACCATTAAAGATTGTATTAGTTCTGGCATTTTTCTTTTGCTTTTATAGAATTTATAAACCTCATGTTATCCAGTATCAATGGACAGTCTCCACTGACATTTTTTGTTTTTAAAGAGCAAAATTTTGCTGTATTTCCCCTTCTCGTTCTAATTCTGGACACTGCTTGGTGAAGGTGAATGACAGGCAGGCAAGAATGAAAGGGGGAGGAAGACTCAAAGAAAAGGGGTACATTAGTGACCCCAAGGGAAATTCAGGGGGGGTGCGGAAGGGCCGACTGAACAGCGTCTTGGTTTCTGATGACCCATTTGTGTGGATAAGGCTGTTAACGTCCGTATTTAATGTACTGAACAAACTGTTTTTGTGTTTTAGAATATCTCATTACCAACCATATATGATGTCCTGTCAACGAAACCTGTCCTCAACAAGGTATTTAAAAAAAAAAAATGTATATATATATATGCATTTGCTTTTAGGGAAAGAATTTGGTCCTATGTTTTATCTTTCTCTGTCATCCTGGAGAAATCAGAGCTAGAATCCCAAGGCATGTTCAGCTTAAGACTGATTTTTCAAAATGTTTGTGTGTGACTAAGTCACTGTTGGCATGTGACAAAGAAACTGACCACTGTGGCTTAGATGTCAGTTTGGTCAGAGTATTGTTTCCGGTTTTACTGACATGGCATAGTATTAAGTGTAGCATTTTGGCCTGACTTCTGTGTACCCAAAAGCCCCCCCTTGTGCACTCTGGATATACACACAGATTTTCCCATTTGTTCTCTCCTTTGGCCCCTTCCCCTAACCCTCCCTAAAACCGGCATTTCCATGACCTCTGCCAGAGCCGATTCCTCCTGCTCGCAGGAAGCCTTCCTTAAGCCCGCTGACCCTGCCCGCGCATCTTCATGAGCGCTCAGTGGTTACTTACAGATTCTGTGCCTCGCAGTCTGCATGCCGAGCCCCCCACTGGGCGCTTTAAGGACGACGACAGCTAAAGCTAAGCAGGTCACACTCTGTAGTAAGCGTTAGGCTTTGCAGGACGACAGACTGCACACTGACGGCCAAGTCAGCCTCAGCATTGCTGGTGGAGCGGTGTGCGCTCAGGAAGGAGACCGTGTAAAGAACCAAAGGTTCTCTCCCAAGCCTGTTCACATTCACAACCTGGAGTAATAGTCTGTTGAAGTCAGTTGTTTTTATTGTTAACTTATTTATTATCTGGATCTTTATATAACATTTGTCTTATGTATTTACTTATATATAATGTAATATTATATATTCAATATTAACTTCATAAAGCAGTTCCACAAGAAACGATAGTATAAATCAGGACATCTTAGGATTTAAAACATCCTTAAAATAAAACTAACTTTTCTTTCAGCTGACTGTATTCACAACCTTGATGGACGTTACCAAAGGTCAATTTGAAACTTACCTGCGGGATTGCCCAGACCCCTGTATAGGTTGGTGAGCACACACCTGGCCTAAGAATGCGCTGTGACATCAAGATGGGACTCATGCGTGGGCGACTGGTGCAGCCGTCTGATCTCTGACCAGAAGCTAAGCTCAGGGCAGGTTCTCTTAAGGCATGGGCTTGTCCGACTTGGTATGTTTACAGTTCACAGGCTCTTTGTGCCATCACAGTTGATCATTCTTAGTTATAGACAGTTTAAGTGAGGTACAGCAGTCATTTAGAATGCGCTGAGTTTCATTTCACTTTGACATCTGGGGGCGGGGGTGGGCCCTTAAACTATTGTAGGACCCACTCCCATGGAATAAAGAGTCTGTGGGCACTGAATTCAGTACATCTGCGTAAGCAACAGTACGTCATTGCTTTTCACTTTGATCTGCAGATTTGTATGTTTTTCTGTACAGCAGTCTTCCTCCGGGTACTAAATGCTACTGAAGTCATACACCATTGTCTTTGCTGTTTGTGACAGCAGTGTCATTTCACCAGCTCTGACTGGAGGGAGATGAGACACTCACCTGTCTCCTCCTGCAAGGGCTGTACCTGGGCATTTGACTCTGAGTGGAAGTGCTTCTGGGGTTCATTCAGTATGCAAGGCAGTCTTTTATACACAGAATGGAAGTGGTTCCTTTTTCATGATTACCCTACCTCCCAGAAACCCCAGCGTTGGCTTCAACAGCGGAGTCCCAGGTTCTGTGCATCAGTAGTAAATAAACAGGTCAGACTTGTGGAAACAGGAAGCGAACCCATTATTTCAGACTTTCCTCAGTATCACCTACTTAACAGATTGAGTTTTCCCTTCAGATCAGTATGTATTTTTTAAAAACTAAGTAGTTACTAAAAATGTTTTTCAGAAATAAATACATTTATGAAAATGTTAATCGAGCTTGCTGACTTTTCAAACTCTCAGTTAGCTGAACCGCGTGCCAGCTGGGCATGGATGTACCCGCTTCACGCCTACCAGCTGTATCCATGGCGTCAATAAGGCAGCGTGAGCAGGCTGCACTGGCTGAGCGCACGCTTACGTACTGGTCTGAGATGGGGGTGCTTATGGAGAAATCAGAGCTGCTGAGTGTGTCTGAATTAATTACAGGAGTTGTGTAAGTGGGTTATTCAGCTTATGACTGGTTACACTTACATGACTAATCCTTGCCACCTTTTAACCCACTGTTACCAGCCCATTGTGGAGGTGTCCAAGGGCAGCTTTTCCTCCCAGACTGGAGAGGCTTTTGGTTTGTTTCCTCAAAACTGTAGTGAGCCAGTATTATCTTAAGAACTACAAGAGGATTTGTGTTAAAATAGGATTCAATTAATTCTAATTAATTTATTTTTAATGTATCTTCATTGATTTCAGAGAGAGGAAAGAAGAGGGAGAGAGAGAGAGGCAGAAACATCAATGATGAGAGAGTCATTGATCGAGCCGCAACCCGGGCATGTGCCCTGACCGGGAATCGAACCCCGATTGCCTGGATCCCAGGTCGACGCTCAACCGCTGAGCCACGCCCGGCCGGGCAGGATTCAATTAACTTTAAAAAGCTTTGCTTGGGATTTTGTCCCTCTTATAAAAATGATGTGAGGTAAACTTGTATCGTTTTTTCTAATGCCGCCTTTGATATGCACAATAAAATGAGACACTGATTGTTTCAGACTGATTCCTTAGGACTAAATCAAAGCATTTGGAGGTAATACTGGTATTAAAATTTGAGGTAGGGTTGTTTAGTGGTAAAAAGGAAAGTATAAAATAGGATATACAGTATAAGCCTATTTACATAAACTTTATATGTGTGCCTAAGCATAACTAGATCTACATCATCTACATCTATAATATGAAAAGGTGACTAGGAGAATGTTTACAGATACGTTGACAATGGTTCCCTCTGGAAAGTGATGTAAATTGCTATTTTAATTTGGAGAGGACATGAATGAGATTGTATTTTAAGAAATATACTGGATAATAATCCTGGATAGGCTGGATCCAAACCATGGACTGCAATTTCCCCACCTAGTTTTAGGTAAGGAGAAAAAGACAAGGGGCAATCATGATATAATCCAAGGTGAAACAAAATTATATAATCCAGAAAGCTATCTGAAATACTAATTCTGTAGCTTAACTGAACTCCATTACTGTATGTCTTAAACATTTTGGGGGGCTGTGGGGATAGAGTGAGAGAATGGAAAGAGGCAAGAGAATGAAATAGAAGGTAACTAGTAGAATGGTCAAAGTGACACTGTGGGAAAACTCTACATCTAAGATCCACTATAATGAAGGCTCTTTAGCTTTTGCCTCCTTATGTAAAGGGGAAAATTACAAAAAGAGTATAGAGCCAGGACATGTTAGAAAAGAATGTTTGTTAAGCAAAGAACATATGGAAGCAAGTGTGGTCCTGAAAGACCCCTTCTTTTCCTGTGCCTCTTTTCTCCACATGGGTACATATGTGATGCCTTACACTTGTGTAGTGCTCGACATCCAAACACCTACATGAGCACTGCTTCACTGGGTAGACAACCCATATTCCCCTTCTAGAAAACACTGAATAGCCAACAGGTGAAGGAGCAGTGGAGATGGAAGAACTCCTAACTGTCCACAGTCTCCGGAAAAGAGGTTTAACACAAGTGCTGAATATTATACTGTGAACTGATAGAGCACTTTATATTTTCAAGATCTTTCATGATATGGCCCCAGCTGGTGTGGCTCAGTTGGGCATCGTCCCGCGCACTGAAAGGTTGCTGGCTGGATTAAAAGGCAGGGCGCATGCCCAGATTGCAGGCTTGATCCCTGGTGGGGGGTGTGCAGGAGGCAGCAGATTGATGCTTCACTCTCTTATTGATGTTTCTCTCCCTTTCCCTTCCTCTCTTAAAAAACCATTAAAGCCCGGCCGGGCGTGGCTCAGTGGTTGAGTGTTGACCTAGGATCTAGGAGATCAGGGTTCGATTCCCGGCCAGGGCACATGCCTGGGTTGCAGGCTGCAGCCGATCAATGACTCTCTCATCTTTGGTGTTTCTCTCTCTCCCTCTCCTTTTCTCTCTTTGAGATCAATAAAGATATATTTTTAAAAATACCCCAAAACATTAAAAAATATATTTAAAAATCACATGTGATTTAACAGACCTAAATATCAGGGATAACTACACGTAGCAAGAGTCTTAATGTAAAAATACTATGTAAAGAGAACTCTGTTGTACTGAAATTTTACATTATGATTAGTTTTCAAAATAACCAAATCAATAGCTTTCTGTAAAACGCTGCCCCAAAGGTTCTGTTATGGATATTTCTGAGTTTGATAAGATAATTAAAAATCTTCTATATGAATCAAAGTCATTGGTAGGCGTAGGATCCCCCCCCCCTTCCTTAACCAGAAGCACCAGTCAATATGAGGAAAGAACCAGACACGTAAGGACAGCAAACATTAAAGTAACAATTAGAGCTGTACAGCAAGAACAACAAGAAATGCTGGCTCTTCCAGACAAGGCGGCTAGGCAACCACATTTATACAGTGAAATAAGTGAAATCCAGAGCAAATTATTTGACAGATGAAAAATGGCCTGTTTATAGTAAAAGTCTAACAATAAGCCAGAAACCTCCCAGTCTAATTTTGAATAAATATGAGAATGTTCTCCACACAGGATGTAAGACAGATACAACTAAGAAACAGTAGAGCATATCACACTGTAAGAAAAATGGTCTCAAGTTTAATAAAGCTGCTCTCTGGCTAGTTGATATGTCATTTTTCATGTCTTGATTGCTTTTTACACCTAAAATTGTCAAATAAGCCACAATTCTGGAGTAAATTCTAAAGCGTAATTGTAAGTATGTCAATTTAAATGAAAATGCAATTCAGGATCATACACAGGATATACATTTATTAACAGTGGAAAAGCATCTACCCAAAGTGAATGATACAAAATACAAAGAGTACCTGCAATCTGCGGAGCGCATTACTTTAGGCATTGCCTCGACCTGTGTAGGGCTCTCTCTCACTCATTCTGACCTTTTCTCCCTCTTTTATATCTAACCAAAATTTTAACTTATAAATTAAACACACAGGAATATTTAATGCCTAACTCTTTAGCAATAGCTACTAGGGGAAAACATATGAAACTAGGTATTTGCTCTCAAACTCTAGGTATTTTAAAACTAAATTATCTACTAAAATAGAAAACACCAGACTAGATTACAGAAGCTATAACATAGGTCAAATAAACAAGTCTGATAAGGTTCACAGGTACTATAACAACAACTAAGATGTAAGTACAACTCTTCCACCATAACACTCTTTAACATGCAAGCAGGGCAAGAGAAAGTCACAATACGTGAGGCTTGGCTTTAATACAAAATGAAGTTTCTCCTCCTATACAATCAATCTAGAAAACAAATATAGAATCGGAGTACACATATAATTTAACTTAGTGTTTCAACTCTCCTGAAGTCAAGCAAACTGGATAAGAATTCCTGATTCTGGAATGACAGTTTTCTGAATAGGTTTTACTGAAGTAGGAGATACATGTCTCACATAATTTAAGTAGCAATACAGTAAATGTCCTCATAGGAAAATGTTCATTTACTACTCCCTGGTTGGACATCACGGTTTTACACTGAGGTATCAGGCAGGTAAGAATTTTAAAGGAATACCAACCAAATTCTTAAAGGGTATTTCAGTCAATTTTTAACAAATTTAAAAGATACCTGGGATGAATAACTGGTTCTGTGGTGCCCTATTGGGTATATGGCAAATTTGAGATCTAAGGGTAAACCATCTTTTAAAAGCTGGCTGACTTAGTGATGAAGTCGACACACAGATTTTCATTACTCAATACTTCATTTCTCTCGCTACACACAGAAGCAAGTGCTATGCTTTGATCTTAAACCATCATCTCAATAAGTTCATCCAAAGGCATACAGAACACCTTAACGTTCTGGTACATAAATTTAGTTCTATCAATCCCTACTTGAAAGAGCCGGCTTTTCATTTGAAATTAATCACAATTAATTGTGCAGAAATACTCTCTATATGAAACTTTTTTTTAGATGGAGGCAACACAGATAGGAATTGAAATTCTGGAAAATAGTTATCTAATTGGTACTAAGGACATGTGTTCTAAGCTTATTATGCAATTTTAACAGAGTATTACTATATATCCTACAATAACTTCACAGATATCCTGGAAACCTTTATAACCTGTCCTATTCTTGCATAGGAATAAGACATGAAGGTATCTAAAAAAACATTAGGCCCAATAGCAGTAACACTGGCATTATTTGGAAGTCTGCTATAATAATGACTAGACTTTATAATAAATAGCGTATTTCTCTAACTCTTGACCACTAACTCTTCTTTGAGCAGCCTAATTATATAGAACAGTGGCTTGCTGTATAGAATTCAACATAATTTCCAGAAAAGATACTTTACAGATAAGTCCAAACTTTATTTAAAACTACATTTTAAG